TGGGACCCTTTCAAGGACTTCCCTTTCCCTTCCTCGTCCCTCTCCGCCTCCAATTTCCCCCAGACCTTCCGGGAGAACACCGCCTTCGCGAGCACGAGGATCGACTGGAAGGAGACCCCGGAGGCCCACGTGTTCAAGGCTGATCTCCCCGGGCTCAAGAAGGAGGAAGTGAAGGTGGAGATCGAGGACGATCGGGTGCTCCAGATAAGCGGCGAGCGGAACGTGGAGAAGGAGGACAAGAACGATACTTGGCACCGGGTGGAGAGGAGCAGCGGGAGGTTCATGAGGAGGTTCAGGCTGCCGGAGAACGCGAGGATGGATCAGGTGAAGGCGGCGATGGAGAACGGGGTGCTGACCGTCACCGTTCCCAAGGTGGAGGAGAAGAAGCCCGAGGTGAAGGCCGTCGAGATCTCCGGTTGATAGCTGGTGAAGCTACGGCCATCGTTGCGACTTGTGTGTATGTTATATATATATATATATATATGGTGAAGCTATGGCCATCGCTGCGACTTGTGTGTATGTTATATATATATAGAGTGAGCGTCTATGTGTGTATGTTGTGTTCTGTGTGAGTTTCGCGTGTCCTGAGTTGGGAGTCGCGGTCCTCGGGTCTGATATGGCGATGTATAGTAATTATTGCGAGACACTCTCTACTTGTGAGGAGATCAGACGTTATGATTTCCTGACTTCTGTTTTATGCGATATCGGTTCCTCAAACTCTTCCGATTGTTTGTCTTTCCCTTTTCCTACTGCACTGTTTTTGCATACTGCTTTGTCAGATGGGAGTTCAATTAGTTCATTCCTTTTGCGACGATAAATTCAATTTCTTGGAAGGATTCCTGGGAAGTGCAAGCGCCGTACTTTGCACGTTGTGATCACCTTTTCAATTGGGTTCGGGGCAACCTGCAAAATGCAGTGAGAGAAGCTGATAACTTTTGGGATGAAACCATGTTATTCCTTTTGAGCTCAGCGCGAGCTGCAGGGTTAAATTTGTCTGATTTCAAGATCAGATTTCCCAACAAGCCTTTTCTTTCCGCGTGATCATCATCAGATCAGAGAGAAGTGATCGAGTTCGCTAGTTCTTCTATTGCAGTGTGTGAACAAGAACCTTTCCTGATTTTCAGCTGGATTTCGTCTTTGAAAGCCGCGGCTCTCGGCCTCGTCTCTTTCCCTTCCCCATCAACCGTCAGTCTCCTCACTGCTTTTCACCATCTCTTTCTGATTCAGATCACCCTACAACCCCAATCCCACCCGCCAAACATGGCACAAGTACCTTGCGTCACATTCGGGTCCCTGAAGGACGGTCGGCATATCATCGGGACTCCTTCGGAAATGCTTTCCTAGGACGAATTCCCTCTGCAATGGGTCCAAAAGCCTCCCACGGCAGGGTGTGCTAAAACTTTCTCCCACGGAGCCCATCTCACAACACGGCCAGTTTCTCTAATGGCTTCTTTGAACCATTCTGGTGACAGCTCGCTTCGCTCAGAGCCTCTGATTGGGCCAGGTCGGATCAGCCACAAGAATGCCGCAGTTCGCCAGCCCCCAAGCTGTTTCTGCAAACTCTCCCTGATCCATTGAAGCCAAGCTTCCTAAGCTCACATATATGACTGAATTATTTAGCCTGCTTATCAGGACACAGCAGGCAACCGGTTTCTTCCTCCATTATGCTGGTTGGTGAAGCCGGATCAACTTTAAGCAGCGAGCCTAGCGAGAAAAATGGATCTCGTTATTGTTTCTGGAATTCATCCGATAACTGTTTCTCAAGGCAGTCCACCGTGTTCCAAAAATGTTTGAAGATGCCTTATTAATGATCACCAGAGCTGATAACTTCATTATGGGTTCTAAATCACGAGATGTAAAAGAGGCAAGTCCTTGCATCTCGTAGGATAAGCGCCTGGAACAGGATCATTTGATATTGGATCTAAAGAGTCAAGGTAATGCAGCTTAGCATGTATTGGTTCTACGAGATCACAGTCTGATAGAAAACATAGAAACTAGTCCAAGATTTGAATATTTCAGCAAGTCAAAAGAGAGATACTCCCTTATGGGATGAGAGGATTAAAATTAGAACAAAACGTTTATTCCTATTTCAACGCCGTATATATACTTTCTTCCTTCCTAGTTGGATTGCTCGACATGAACACGAGAATATGATCTTATATGCAGTTTCAACATGTGTGGTATAGTTGACTTCAATTACACGCCTCCTCCTCTGACTAAAAGGAAGTAATGGCTGGTTTAGACAGTTAGGGCAACGGCTATCAGAGTGTTTCACCTTCTGGAGACCGAGTCCCCTAAAGACCTGGTATGCTTACCTTTTCCTTGCAGCAAGAACAATTTACGAAAACACAAAGATCCCCGTTAAAGTTCTGCTTAATGAGTAGTAGAAGAAGAAAATTACAAGCCAAGCTCAAAATATGTCTACATGGACTAATGGGGCAAGCTGTCGAGTGCAATTCATATTTGAGCCACGTTGATTAGTTGACTCTCTCTTTAACTTGGTTTCAACATGAGAGTGCTTGTAACCTTCTTTAAAAAATCACCATATTGACCTCACAGAACAATCGTCTCGGAGCAGAATCGCATACACATGTATCGTAGCCAACACTCGCAACCTTCCGTAAGCTGATAGAGCTTGTCTAAGTCAAAGACAGTTAGAGAAAGCAGGACTAAGAAGCACAAGAGCTTCAAAGTCTGCATCATTCAGACACCTAGCTATTTCTTGAGACGAATCAAGCGTATCAAAGAAATATAAAGCTCGATGATTCAGTTGCTGTGAAAGTCGAGTCGACCTGGAGGATTCTCATGTTCTTTTCTGCTATAAAAGAAATACCAATCTTTTTCAAATGGAAAGTTCTAAATGGACTAGTATCTAAAGGCCTGATTGATAGAGATATGAAACGAAAATCCTTGTCCTTGAGCACAATGACCAATATTTGTGCTACTGCTTCTTTCTCGTGATTGACTTAAGAAAGAATGTTCATCCTCGAAATGTTGTCCCTACAACAGCAACAAAAACAATCAAGTCTTATTCTGCTAAGTGAGGTCCGTCTCCGTCATATGAATCCTATTATGCCATGGCGCTTCCTTTGTTAGATTCTCTGTGAAATACGCACATTACCCCACTTATCCCACTAAGTTGGCTCGGCGATATCTTTCATTGTCATTTCCTTCCACATCTTTCTGGGGCTTTTCTTATCATTTTTAACGAATGTGTCCAATCTTTATTCACACATCGCCTCACTAGGGCATCCGAAGGCTTTCGTTCATCATTACCACACCATCTCAGACGGCCTTCTCTCATCTCAAAATGCCTTCGAGATGTTATCTCTACAATGGCTTGATGACGTGGCGAAACCAATCTATTACCTTTATCCTTGTAATATGAATCCCATCTTATATCACGTCAAATGTGTTATGCTTTCACTTTTCATTAAATTGTTCTACCACGTGTTACTAACACGCTATGTAACCAGTTATGACATGACTGTCACATAAAACATCTTCTCCACGTGTATGGCATGAGAAGAAGTAATGATAATCAATCGAAATGATCCATAAAAATGGAATTGGGGATTGTGCAATTTAATAACAATTATAATTGTTAAAACTCTTTCTAACAAGTAAAAGGATAATTGAGTTAGGAAAATAACATCTCACAATAGGGGTTAAATGTGTATTTGGTTCAGTATTCTAAAGGATTTTGAGCCTCTAAAGGCCTTTGGGACAAAATTGAGGCGTTAGTTCATCATTCCCAATTGCCTTCGAGCCAAAGTTAGCATTTCTATAGTTCCTTAACCTAATGCAAGTTCCACCCAGTATTGACATTCAACATTTTTTGAAATGCTACTCTCGAGGATAATGGATTTTTTTTTGCTTCCAACTTTGCCCCACTAATATTTTTGTAGTCTAGTTTTGTCTCCACAATCAATGTTTGTCGCCTCCCTCTCTAAAGTCTAGATCTAGATCTAGATCGCCTATCTAATCCTGTGCTAATAGCTGCGCAAGGCTTGCTGACAGTTGCCGAGGGTGGTGAGGGTCTAAGCTACTATGTTTGGGTCACCGAGGTCTCGGTTCGCATGGGTCTAGACTCTAGGTCTCTGGTTTGACACTCCACCGAATGTCACGCGAGGTTTGTTGATGGTGGCCAAGCGTCTGGGTTGACGATCGTGTGCCTGGTTTTAACAATCATGGGGTCTAGGTCGCCAAGGTCATGCAACCCTCAAGGTCACCTCGCTTGGGCCGCCTGAAGTCACAGACCTCGGCATCGCCTTGCCTGACCTCTTTAACGATTCGATCATCATTGGCAATTGATTTGCTTTCCAGGTTTGCTTCCAAGATGAGATATCTCCATTCTTTCTATCAAAAAAAGAGATATCTCCATTCTCGAATAGCCATAACTATGTTCTTCCTTCTTCTTCTTCTTCTTGTTTTTTTTTTTAAACTTCGAAGCTACATTGCAAAAATATCCCAAAAGTCACTTAATCAAACAATATCTGCAACGAGCGAATGGACTTTGGGTCAAAGATATTTGGAGCAACAACTCTACATTTTCTCAAAACTTTCTCAGCCGCACCCTAAAAGCCCATTTGTTGTAATGTCATTGGCCTTGCATCCGCCCATTAGCAAAATGAACATATGTTTGTTGTGAGAGGAACTCCTCGAATCGTATCTTTTGACCAATGGAATATAAACATCAGCTGTATTCATGATTTGTGATCCATTAAATCTAATTGGTCGGGCAAAATTTTTATTTAATCAATAACATAGGAAATTGAGGGCGATAACAAAAATAGAAATAGAATTCGTCTTATCGTCTACCAAGCATTGCACGTGGACGTGGGCGTGGACGTGGCGTTCACTGAAAAGATCCTGACGAGGCCCAGCCCGCAGTTTCCAGATGGACCGACCAACCCGATTCGCCATTTTACTCGAACGTTCGAGACTCGAAAGACCGCGAAGGTCCGAGAATGATCCTCTCTTTCCTATTTATCATACCCAACTTCTCTTCCACGCCGGCATCGTCGAACGATAGCGATTCCCATCTGATTCCGGCATTCTTTCAAACACTTTATCGGCTCAGTCTCAAATTCGCACTTGTAATCCCACAGCCATGTCGCTCATCCCAAGCTGGTTCGGCGGCCGTCGCGGCAACGCCTTCGACCCTTTCTCCCTCGACCTCTGGGACCCCTTCAAGGACTTCCCTTTCCCTTCCCCGTCCCTCTCCGCCTCCAATTTCCCCCAGAGCTTCCGGGAGAACACCGCCTTCGTGAGCACGAGGATCGACTGGAAGGAGACCCCGGAGGCCCACGTGTTCAAGGCGGATCTCCCCGGGCTCAAGAAGGAGGAGGTCAAGGTGGAGATCGAGGACGATCGGGTGCTCCAGATAAGCGGCGAGCGGAACGTGGAGAAGGAGGACAAGAACGACACGTGGCACCGGGCGGAGAGGAGCAGCGGGAGGTTCATGAGGAGGTTCAGGTTGCCCGAGAACGCGAGGATGGATCAGGTGAAGGCGGCGATGGAGAGCGGGGTGCTGACCGTCACTGTTCCCAAGGCGGAGGAGAAGAGGGCCGAGGTCAAGTCCATCGAGATCTCCGGTTGAGAGCTGGTGAAGCTATGGCCCTCGTTGCGACTTGTGTCTATATATATAGAGAGAGTGTCTGCGTGTGTATGCTGTGTTCTGTGTGGGTTTCGTGTGTCCTGAGTTGGGAGGCTCGGCCCTCTGGTGTCTGATATGGCGATGTATTGTCCTACTGCGACTCTTTACTGGTAATGATATTTGATGTTATGATCTCTTAACTTCTGTCTGATGTGATGATATTGGTTCCTCAGAGTCTTGCGATTGTTTGTATGTTCTTGGGATGTTGCTAATTTTGAGCGTGTGAATGGAATTACTACGATTCAGACAAAAATAAAAATAAAAATAGAATTACTACGATGATTCGCATACTGCTTCACCAGTGGGCAGTTCAATTAGTTTCCTTCTTTTCGGATGATTAGTTCAATTTCTTGGGAAGGATCCCTCAAAAGTGCAAGTGCCATACTTTGCACATTTGCGATCGTTTTTTCATTTGGGTTTGGAGGTACCTGCAACATAGAGAGCTGATAAATTTGGGATGAAAACAGGCTAGACACCGTATCCACTCCTTTTGAGCTCAGCGCAAGGTGCGGGGTTTTCCTTCTGCTGCATCCTATCAAATTTTGTCAGATGACAAGGTGGAATATCATCAACTAGTTTTTCATTTCTGTGTGATCATAGTCAGATGAGAAGGAATTGATCAAATTCACTGGTTCCTCTATTGCAGTGTGCGAAGGACCGCCTTTCGTGATGCTCGACTCGATTTGGTCTGCGAAAGCCGCGGCTCTCAGCCTCATCTCTTTCCCTTCCTCATCGACCATCAGCCTCCTCACTGCTTGCTCTATCTGTTTCTGGTCTAGATCGCCCTCCAACTCCAATCCCACCCTCCAAATGTGGCACGGGTACCTCGCGTTCACATTCTGGTCCATGAAGCACGGTTCCGAAATGCTTTTCAAGGTCGAATTCCATCCGCAATGGGTCCAAAAGCCTCCCACGGCACGGTGCGCTAAAACATCCTTCTGCGGAGCCCATCTCACGACACAGCCTGTTTCTCGGATAGCTTCTTTGAACCCTTCTGGCAACAGCTCGATCCACTCCGAGCCTCTGACTGAGCCAGGTCGGACCACCCACAAGAATGGCTGGCCGCTTTTTGCCAGTCCCCAAGCTGTCTCTGCAAACTCTCCCTCATCAGTCGAAACCAAGCTTCCTAAGCTCACATATATGACTGAATTATTAGCTTGCTTATCGAGCCACAACAGGCAATCGGTTTCCTCCTCCAGTATGCTGGTTGGTGAAGCCGGAGCAACTTTGTGCAACGGGCCTAGTGAGAAAAATGGAACTCGGTATTGTTTCTTGAGTTGGTCTGATAACTGGTTCTCAAGGCAGTCCACTGTGTTCCAAAGAATGGCTGAAGATGTCTTGAATCTTGATATCGAGCGTCGTAGCTATCAACTGCATCATGGGTTCTAGATTGCTAAGAAAAAGAGGCAAGTCCTTGCATCTTAAGGGATAAGTGCCTGGAACGGGATCTTTCGACGAACGATCTGTAGAGTAAAAAATACTGCAGCTTAGCATGTATTGCTTCTTCGAGATCATATTCTGATAAAAACATAAAAACTAGTCTGAGATTTGAATATTCCAGCAAGTTAAAAAAGAGATGGTGCTTTTATTCCTATTTTGTTCTCAGTGGATATCCTAGCGAAATTACTATCAAACTACAACACTGAGGTGACTAGAAGTTTATTGCGCATGCCGATATCCGAGAGTTTATCGTGTCTGATATAGTATGTGAGGATTGAAGATACCTTTCAAGGGAAAATAACCGAGGCCATTTGGAGAAAACCAGCTGAGTACCGATACTACTAGTGGGCAAAGCCATGCTAGGAAGTTTCATATAATGAGCTGCGGCTTCTGCACGGTACATCAGCGTATCATAAATCACGCAGGAGATTTTATTCTCGGTCGCTCCTTCCTTTGCCATCATATCTGACAATACTTGGCGGAGCGGTCCTTCAAAGTTGGTGTTGAGACTCGCTACAATAGGTACGGGATCCCCGGAGGAGAGGACATCCTTTCATAAGCAGTCGGGAATAGAAGCAAAGGTAAAATTGGGGAAACCAGATGGATTGGGATGATTGAATTGAGTGTGGGCTATTGCAATGGAGAAGCCCTTGGAATGCAGGAGGGACCCCAAATTGAGCATCGGGGTTATGTGTCCTTGAAAGGGACGGGACTAGCACCTATCTACGATTGCATCTCTGCCCTCGTTCCTCCATTTCTCTCGTATGACCACAACCAGAGCCAGCATATGAATGATCTTATATTCAATACTTGGTCGCCCGCGAGATGTCAAGGAAAACAAAGAAAACATCTCTAATTAACTTGTTTTTCTTGCCAGGAGAGTAACATGAGAAAGTGGCCAACAAATCGATTACATCATTGAAGGGTGACGGGATTACAGGAAAGCGGCTTTCGCACTATGAGACATGTGCAGGAAACGCCTACATGTGGACACCTGAAATTTTGTTTCCTTTCATGTCTGGCTTTGTTCAATCTCATGTTAAAGCCAACTGTCACGCTCGACGCCTACATGTGTAAGGTAATGACTCGAATATCCTCCTACCCAAAAGACATGGTTTCAAATATAACTAACATTAGTCTGTTATCAAATATGTATCTCTATCTATATATCGGACAAACAGTAATATAGTTACAGGATCAGACTTCTAAAATCCATCGTAAGAATATATATTTTTTCTAACTAATAAACCAAATCTCAAGGAATACCATTTCAAAGATATAACTATCTTAGCTCATATTCAATATATTCAACTACCAAAATTCCCCCCGTTGATATCACTTGTCCAACTTGTCGCTAGTTGAAAAACCTAAAGAATATTTAAGACTAATGATCCATTCTATCGCCCAATCGGACGATTTTGCACATTAGATTAAAGTGTAGGGACTATTTATATTATTATCCCTTCTTTGGTTGATGAACGATAATAAACCTAAGATGCTGGACTTAGACACTTTACTGAAAAAGTTTAGTGGCAAAGACATTCATTTTCTTTTAGCAATAACTTTCTCTTCTTCACATTTGTGACGTAAGAAAGCAATTCTGGACAATATACCGATAAGATCGTCTCACATAAAGCTGTCTGAATTGACGCTTCACATGCATTCTGCTCGCATGAATAGCATGCATGCACTTACTGCACAAGATTAGGTGACAAACGCACATGTCAAATCGATCTTTTGACTTAAGTAGGCAATTGGCTCGAACCTAAGGCGGAATTTTTGAATTGGAGGGCCATAACCATGAACAATGGAAAAATCGAGGATTGAATCCTCGACACCTTTTCGCTTTTGGAGGAACCGTTTTTTTTCCAAAAACTTGAATGATTAGAAAAAGGGCCAACAATGAATTTTCAACGAATGAGTTCAGTCATTTCAGGGATTATCGAAATTGAAGGAAAGCATTCTGCACGACACTAATATTACGTGATATGTCGATGAGATCTCGCTCAACCAAATCAATTATTTTCAATCATTGTAACGATCTTCAAATGTGAATACACGATGGCAAAAAGGGACTGGATTGAAAGACAATAGGAGGAAGGGTTAAAAAGAGGCAAAGTAGCTGAACATGTCACGTAGCTGCGAGAAAGAGCTAGAAGCCCAAAACCAGAACGTTCCCTTAGGCTTAACCTCGTTCGAGAAATCTCACGAACGTACGGGAAGACAAACTCTTCTCCCAATAAATACCCCAGCACGTCCCTCTCTTTCCGACAAGAATCCAGAAAGAAAGCAAGTCACCAAGAACTCCAAACCCGTGCAGAAATCTCCTCCGAAATAAAGCTTCAATCGACCGAACTATTCAGAGACGATGTCGCTCATTCCAAGCTGGTTCGGTGGCCGACGCAGCGATGCTTTCGACCCGTTCTCTCTCGACCTCTGGGATCCCTTCAAGGACTTCCCTTTCCCTTCCTCTTCCCTCTCCGCCTCCAATTTCCCTCGGACTTTCCGGGAAAATTCATCCTTCGTCAACACCAGGATCGACTGGAGGGAAACCCCGGAAGCCCATGTGTTCAAGGCCGATCTTCCCGGGCTCAAGAAAGAGGAAGTGAAAGTCGAGGTCGAGGACGATCGGGTGCTCCACATTAGGGGAGAGAGGATGGTGGAGAAGGAGGACAAGAACGACAAGTGGCATCGAGTGGAGCGAAGCAGCGGGAAGTTCATGAGGAGGTTCAGGTTGCCCAAGAATGCGAGGATGGATCAGGCCAAGGCTTCGATGGAGAACGGAATGCTCACCGTCACTGTCCCGAAGGTGGAGGAGAAGAAGCCTGAGGTCAAGGCTATTGAGATCTATGGTTGAGTCTGTGACGGTAACTTACGAGTGCTAATGTGAAATCGAGGATTGGTGTGTGCAGAGTCTGTGTGCGTCGTCTCTTTCTTATGTGTTTGGAGAGTTGTATTAGTCTGGGAACTATCTCTGATACACTGGTGTAATCTGAACTAGCAAAACTTTTCTGTAAAAAACTAAACTTCAATGTTGCAATTTCAGCCCCATTTTGTCTGTTAAGTTTGATCGCTGGAGTGGATCTTTGCTTTACTCTTGATCTCGTTCGATTGTCTTTTCAGGAATTACTTGGAGTTTTCCTAGCCAGCAGTTTGTGCAGTGTATCATGAACTTTGTTCATGAGCACAAGCCAGAGAAGAGGGTCGACCTGGTAGTCCCTGTTATAATCGAAAAATTATCCGCATTACGACATTGTGGACCCGAAGAGCTGCCAAGAAGCAGAAGCAGAGAGAAAGGGAGTGCTTATTACGTTACAAAGAACTTCATGACATTATAGCTATCTTTGGGTTGGACGAATTATCCGAAGAGGATCGCTTAACCTCGTGCTCCGGTAATATAACGTAGGGTCTTCCAAAAGTGGAACAAGTGTTAGAAGTGCGTTTAATTGATTCAATATCGATGAACCTAGAAAAAAAGAATTGAAGGTTGGAACGAGCATATAAAAAAAATTCTTGTCTCTTACCTAAGCTTCTTGTGGATCAAAATAGTGATCCATTCCTTCTATGTCGTAGGATTAAAACCAAATGGTTGTGCCTAAGGGTATATCGATTGAAGTAGATTTTTCTTTTTGATGAATCAAAACCCCTTCCCAAACTGTACAAGCTTCTTTCAAAGCATACAACTTTCTGGACGTAAATGATGATATTTATACATATTGTATAATGAAATACTCTATATCAACTGTGCAAAATTTGAAAAAATACCACATGAATATTCTATCACGGTAGGTATTCAAGAATCATAGGATTAGAGGACGTGGCTACAAACCACGATGTCGGGGGTTCAAATCCCTCTTCGCCCACAACTGGCCCAAAAGGAGAAGGACCTTTGCCTTTGGGGGTAGGTTTGAAAAAGGATTTTAGAATGTCTGGGGTTGGGCCGCTTTCTTTTTCTTCTCATTGAAGTTACTATAAGGGCTTATTTGATCTAATTGTACCACGTAATCCTTTAAAGGTTTTTTGAGTGAGTTAATTAAGCTTCATGCTTATTTTTACTTCCATTGTGGGTAATATATTTCCCTTTTTCGCTCTACAAGGATCAAGACCAAATGAATCTTCATTCTCTTTCTGTTGAACGAAGATATATTTCGAGTTTATCAGTGAGTGAATAATGATTAAATGGGATATGAATTATGTAATTTTAATTGTTATTGATTTCTAGGCGTAGTGCTTCTTCTCTTATGCCGCCTATCGGTACTAATTGATTAGGCTTGACTTATATTCAATGCCGTGTCAAACTTGACTACAGACGTTTGAAAAGAGCAATTTCTCGTAGCTTACGCAAATTGACCGTCTAGTGTGTCCTGTTTACTTGTCCTTGATTGCCGGCTCTCTTTGCATCTCCGTCCCATGATCTCTCTTCAGTGTGAAGTTTCAAAGAGGGTAAAACCAGCCTGGATGAGCAAAATCCTGTGTGTTTGAGAGCATAACTTTGCATAACTTCTGAATATCTTCCATCGAAAAAAAGATAGAGAAGATGGAAGGTGAAGGGCGAAATCGCAAGAGAGTGGTCCTGGTCCCAGCACCATTCCAGGGCCACCTCACTCCCATGCTTCAGCTGGCGACCATCCTCAAGTCCAAGGGCTTCTCCATCACAATTGCTCACGCACAGTTCAACAGTCCAGATTCTTCTTCTCACCCCGATTTCACCTTCTTATGCATACCTGATGGCTTGTCTGAAGAAGAGGCTAGAAACCCTGATCTGATAGCCGTTTTGCTGAGGCTTAATGTCAACTGTGAGTCCAGCCTTAGGGAGTGCCTAACTCGGGGCACAAACCATATGGAGCCAGGTGACAAGATTTGCTGCATCATCTACGATACACTCTTGTACTTCTCGGAAGCCGTAGCCCGCGATTTGAAGATTCCTAGTATTGCTTTATACACGAGTAGTGCTGCTGCTACCATAGTTCGCCCGATTCTTCTCCAATTAAAGGCACAAGGACACATCCCTGTCCCAGGTACGTGCTCATTTTCTCTTATTTAATTTACACTTATTTTCTTCTTAATTATTATCATGGTCGCAGCGAATCTTGCTCTAAATCCATTTTGTTTGTGAGGATGGATGTATTGCCGAAAATTGATTGCAATTTCAAAATCTGTATGTGTGACCTTCAGCATGACCCTGTAGCCATGATCCGACGAGTCTCTTCTATGCCTATACTTTATTCAAGACTGGTTTCTGTGTCATCATCCAAGTTTGACACCCAAGCCAGATTTTTATTCCGAGTGTCGTCAAACCGCTTAGTATATAAGCTGATGGGTTCTAGCTCACTTGTCGCTGTGCTAACTAACAACTGCCTTGTGTTGTGTTCTTTTAGATTCCATGTTGCAGGTTCCGGTGCCCCTGCATCAGCCTCTCAGGTTCAAAGACATGCCACTCTCCAATTTTGGAAGTTTGGACTATTACTTGGAGTTGGTAGTCTTGATGCATAATATCAGATCGTCTTCGGCCATTATATTCAACACGATTCACTGCCTTGAAGAGTCGCCTCTGGCGCAGCTCCACCAAAAGTACCAAGTTCCAATTTTTCCAATAGGCCCTCTACACAAACTCGCTCCTACCTCAGCTGTTAGCCTACTGCAAGAGGATACTGGTTGCATTCAATGGCTTGACAAGCAAACTCATAATTCAGTCATTTATGTGAGTTTGGGAAGCATAGCACATATGAGCCAAGACCAATTGTCTGAAATGGCTTGGGGTTTGGCAAATAGCAAGGAGCCTTTCTTGTGGGTTATTAGGCCTGGCTCAATTCCAGGTTCGGACTGCATTGAGTCAATGGATGAAGAATTCAAAGAATGTGTTAAGGACAGGGGATGCATTGTGAAATGGGCACCTCAGAAGAAAGTACTGGCTCATGACGCGGTGGGAGGGTTTTGGAGCCACTGTGGATGGAACTCCACCTTGGAGAGTATATGCGAAGGTGTTCCTATGATATGTCAACCATGCTTTGGGGACCAAAAGGTGAGTGCGAGGTACTTGACTCATGAATGGAGGGTAGGATTAGAACTGGAGGGTGAGATAGAGAGAGGGACAGTAGAAAGAGCTGTTAGAATATTGATGAAGGAAAAGGTAGGTGAAGAGATGAGGCAGAGGGTCTTGGATTTGAAGCACAAGTGCGATGTTAGTATAGGTGATGGTGGATCTTCTTGCCATTATCTGAGCGAGCTAGTCGAGTTGTTGAGATCGTTCTAGCAGCACAGAGTTGTTTGCTACTAAAGCACCGCGCGGAATGAAGATGTAGTGCAGAAAGTGCAAAGATTTGGTCTTCTGGCATTGAAGCACAGAACAGAACAGAACAGATAATGCTTTGATGCAATGACAGAAATTTGTTGGCTTGTCATGCAAGTTTGAGTTGAAGCAATCTCTTCTTTTTCCTCTCTGACCAGTGGACCTGATCTGAATGGGTCGAATTCACTTCTCCGTTTATGTATAACATGACATGGTTGTTCATTATGTCACAACTCTGAAACCTAAATATGACATGCTTATAATAAACTTGCCAAATATGTTAAGACGTGTAAAAGTGTGTTCAAGTGTGCGTAAATATTCTAAAGTGTATTGTGTCGTTTTGACTAACCGTCAACCGTATCATCAAACTTGTCTAAACATTTCATAGAAAGAATCAATCTAGATATGATAGCATTCATGTGCAAATGAGTTGTTTCTTTTATAATACAAACCTGTGTAAGCTTAACAGGAGCACGCTCAATGACGTGTCAGTAAACGAGCTGTGTTGATATCTGCTTAGCCTCATTCAAGATCGATCGCCATGCCCTACTATTATGTCCGATGAATGTTCTTCCAGCCCAGCAAAAACAGAAGTCAGACGAAAGGGGGAATGCGTATACGAAAATCCTATACCAACAACCTTGATCTCTTGTCAATTGGCACCTCTCTTTTCTCTGTTGCACTTTAATTCAACGGTCAAAAATGGAGAGCGCATGGTGCTCGCGAGGGACCATAAATTCTCTCCTCTTTTCTTAAGCTTATGAAAAGAACAGCTTGAAAACGAGGACTGAATGGTGTTTTTCCCGATTTGACAAGCCAATGTTGTTAATCGGAGTCTTCCCATCTCGATTTTACTTCGTGGAATTTTTCTGTGTTTTCGTAACTTCTGTACAAAATATCGGGGAAAATTAACAAAAAAATCCTAAATTTATTGTACTTATGCCAATTTAGTGATAAATCTTTTGATATGACCAGCTATTATAGTCCATTCGGCTAATTTTGACCGGAAATTGATGATATGGACTTCGGCCATCCTAAGTGACAAAAATGGCCCTAATGTGAAAATTTTTCGAATTTTTTATCTTTTATGTTATTTTTATTTTTATTGTTAATGTCGACAGAGGCTGCGACCCTTGCACTTGGCCGGCGAGGGCCACGTGCCCTTGCTGACCACGTACGAGGGTTGCGGCCCTCCCTTAGTTGTGAGCGAGGACTGTGAGCCCTTGACAGCTGCTAGCGAGGGCTTCGTGGCCCTCGCCTAGTGGCCAACGAGGGTCGCCGGGCCTTGGCCGTTGGCTGACGACCCTCTGTTGGCCTTACCAATAAAAAAAAGAAAAGAATAAAAAAAAAAGTAATCTAAAATTCAAAAAAGTTCCACGTCATCATCGGTTGTATTATGTAGGGCGGCTGTCATCCACGTCATTGTCTTGAAGGTGGGGGGAGAGGAAGCCTAAGGTCAAGGCCATCGAGGTCTCTGGTTGAGCCTGTGATGGTGATATTCATATTGAAATCTATAAGGATAGGGTATTGACATGGCCGTCCTTTCACACGAGGGACGCAGCCTTAAATCAACCAAAGAATCAACTCCCAAAAGTCCCCATTGATTTCGCTTTCGCCCTTGCTCTAATGGCTATTAATTGAGGGACATGAAAAGATTGGGAAAGAGAGGGGTGAGCAACCACAACTCAGTGAATACTACATATCTTCTAGGCAAATCAAGCAACTACTGTGCATGTATACATAAAGCAATAGCAATACCATAAAACAACCACTACGCATGTATACAACTCATATTTGATTGATATATATATCAATCAAATATGAGTTGTTTCATTTCAATAAGGCTTAAACAAATAAGAAATACTCATTTAAACCATTTCAAATCAAACATTAATAGTAAAATCCATCGATCAATCTCTATTAATACACACGTCAATGGTTCATTTTATTGACTAATCTATTGCTCAATCTCAAACCATGATCACAACACAGTGCCTTGTGCCAAGGCAATTAAGATTCTTCCCTTGGCAAGGTCTCCACCTACAAAACTGGTGGCTTGGTCAAGAAGGATATCCTACATCGGTATGCATATCCTGAAACCTCTATCCAAGTTCGCAGCCATATTGAACATCAAATAATCATCCTTCAATACTAGAAATCCAATTCAAAATCTATATCACAAAATGGTTTCAATATAATCTTTTTGTAACACAGCTCATTCGCCATTTTTCAAACCATTTCCCCCATTATTTCATAAATCACAATACATTTCCTAAACCATTTCATAATCCAGGTTCACAAAGTAATACATATACGTAAATTGTCACGACACATTCATAATACGTTTTTTTAAGTAGCCCAAAAGATAGTGAATACTTGATCTCGCTTTACGTAACAAAAATTCTCTTTTAAGTTCAATATATATATCTATACCAAATCAATATTACTTTAAGGCATGTGTTTTACAAAACCAAAGAAGAGATATCATCATTCACCAGGGAATACCCGAAAATCAAACAATGCGTAACTACACGAGCCGACGATCTCGTAATTCTAATAATTAAACGAGAATCACCGTCAAAACCAAGTAAAATACTATAACAACTATGAATTGGCTAAATGATGCTTAAACACTAATAAAACAACTCATGCACGTCAACAAATCGTACACCCCAAATGATTATTCAAGCCATTCGCAATGCGAAGCTCGTACGTGAAACCTTAAAATTCTCGCTCTGATTAAACCGTTGCTCTAAATCAACTCCTGTCAAACCCATGGCTCCGCAACACTATAATCCGCCATTTCCATCAAATCCCACAGCGCAAAAACTCAAAAAAATTGGACTTCGCGGCTTGAATATCACAAAATTTCGAAATTGTGCCATAATTTCGAGAAATACTCCGATTGGATGAATGAGGGGCACGAGCACTTACTAGACCTTACGATAAGTGGTTGAATCGGCTTGACAAGACATTTGTGATGTGACGTGACGTGTACACGCGAAAGCCCTCTTCTTTCTCTCCTTTTCCTATCTTTCCTTTTCTTTCTTCTTCTTCTTTCCTCTTTCTCGAGCGGGCGTCTCTCGGCCTCTATAGTGAACCGAAGTCGACATTTTCTCTTCTTTGACTTTTCAACATTCTTTTCTCTTTTTTTTTGTTAGGCCCCGCCCTTGACTTAGTCAAATATTATAGCGAATGTGAAATCGTGGCTTCGTGTGTGCAGCGCAGCGTCTGTGTTTCGTCTCTCTTTTGTGTTTCGACAGTCGTGCAAAATGTGGGCAGCTGTCTCTGAGACACAGATAATGATGGAGTCTAAGCTAGCAATAGCTTTATGTAAAAAAACTGAACTTCCATCTTGCTTTATCTGGTTCGTTTGATCGCCCGAGTGGATCTTTGCTCGACTCTTTGATCTTGTTCGCTTGTCTTTCATTTGGCTTCAGGCTTCAAGAATTATTTGGAATTTTTTTCTAGCCAGCAGCTCGTGTAGTGTATTATAAACTTGTTCATGAGCACAAGCCAGAGAAGAGGGTTGACTTGATGGTCGCTGTTATTGCTCATTAAAATAAATTATTCAAGTCGAGAAAATGTCAACCAGAATAGCTGTCAGGAAGCAGAAGCCAGAGAGCGAAAGAGAGCAAGTGTTTTTTCAAATGTATCGTTAGATGCCGTGTCTAAAATGACCATGCATCTTTAAAAAAGTCCAATTATTTCTAGCTTGAACGCTTGGTGTGTTCTGGTCTTTATATTCTCCGTTCCATGACATCCATTCTGTGTAAATCTTCAAAGAGAGTAAAACCGGCCTGGATCAGCGGAAGCCCCTGTTTTTAAGAGCATAACTTCGTATTATTGAATATCTTCGATTGGAAAAAGAAAGAGAAGATGGAAAATCAAGGACGAAATCCCAAGAGATTAGTTCTGGTCCCAGGACCGTTCCAGGGCCACCTCACTCCCATGCTTCAGCTGGCGACCGTCCTCAAGTCCAAGGATTTCTCCATTACAATTGCTCACACACAGTTCAATTGTCCAGATTTCTCTGCTCACCCTGATTTTACCTTCCTATGCATCCCGGATGGCATATCCGAACAAGAGGTTCGAAACCCTGATCTGGGAGACGTTGTGCTGAGGCTTAACGACAACTGTGAATCCAGCTTTAGGGAATTCCTAACTCGGGGTACAAACCACATGGAGCTGGGTGACAAGATCTGCTGCATCATCTATGATCCACTCGTGTACTTCTCTGGAGCTGTCGCCCACGATTTGAAGATTCCTAGCATTGCTTTATACACAAGCAGTGCTGCTTATATCGCAGTTCGCCCGATTCTTCTCCAGTTAAAGGCACAAGGACACATCCCTGTCCCAGGTACATGCTCGTTTTCTTTTATTGAGTTACGGTAATCTCCTTCCTAATTGATATCATGGCCGTGGGGAAATCTTGCTCTTAATTTATTTTGTTGTGAAGATGGATGTATTGACGAAAAACGGTTGTAGTTGTAAATTCTGTCCTGTTTGATCTTCAGCATGACCCTGTAGTTTTATGATCCAACGATTCTCTTATAACCTATACTTTATTCAAGACTTATTTCTGTGTCATCATCCAAGTTTGACACCCAAGCCAGATTTAATCCTGAGAGCCATACTGCTAAGTATATAAAGCCGATGGGTGCTAGATCACTTGTGGATGTGCTAACTAACAACTGACTTGTGTTCTATTATTAGATACCATGCTGCAGGTTCCGGTGCCCCTGCATCAGCCTCTCAGGTTCAAAGACCTACCACTCTGCACTCTCGGAAGTTTGGACTCTTTCTTGCAGGGGTTAGCCTTGACGCTTAATATCAGATCATTTTCTGGCATTATATTCAACACGATTCACTGCCTGGAAGAGTCACCTCTGGCCCAGCTCCACCACCAGTACCATGTTCCGATTTTTCCAATAGGCCCTCTACACAAATTCGCTCATACCTCAGCTGTTAGCTTACTGCAAGAGGATACTGGTTGCATTCCATGGCTTGACAAGCAAACTCATAATTCAGTTATTTATGTGAGTTTGGGAAGCATAGCACATATGAACCAAGACCAATTGTCTGAAATGGCTTGGGGTCTGGCAAATAGCAATGAGCCTTTCTTGTGGGTTATTAGGCCTGGCTCAAGTCCGGGTGCGGAATGGATCGAGGCGATGGATGAAAAATTCAGAGAATGTGTTAAGGACAGGGCATGCATTGTGAAATGGGCACCTCAGAAGAAAGTACTGGCTCATGAGGCGGTGGGAGGGTTTTGGAGTCACTGTGGATGGAACTCCACCTTGGAGAGCATATGTGAAGGCGTTCCGATGATATGTCAACCGTGTTTTGGCGACCAAACGGTGAATGCGAGGTACTTGACTCACGAATGGAGGGTTGGATTAGAACTGGAAGGTGAGATAGAGAGAGGGACAGTAGAAAGGGCTATTAGAACATTGATGAAGGAAAAGGAAGGCGAAGAGATGAGGCAGAGGGTCTTGGACTTGAAGCACAAGTTTGATGTTAGTATGGGTGATGGTGGATCTTCTTGCAATTATCTGAGTGAGCTAGTCGAGTTGTTGAGATCGTTCTAGCAGCACAGAGTGTTTGCTACTAAAGCACCACACGGAATAAAGTTTGCGTCGTGCAGAAAGTGCAAAGATTTGGTCTTCTGGCATTGAAGAATAGAACAGAACAGATAATATTCTTTTATGCGACGATAGCAATGAGTTGGCTTATCATATATAAACATTCTTTTCGATTTTTCTTTCCAACCAGTGCATCTGATTCGAATGGATCGAATTCACTTCTCTTTTCATCTATAAACACGTTAAATAAACATGACACAGTTATTTATTATGTCATAATTTTCAAATCTAAGCATAACACGCTTATTATATCGCATGACACATTTGATACGTTTAAGGCATGGACTATTATTCGACAAAAAAAAAGGTATGTTTAGAACAAACTCGTCAAATATGTTTAGACACGTATAAGTGTATTCACATGTGTCTAAATATATCCAAGAGTGTATTGTGTCCATCCAACTAACTTGTCACCTGTGTCATCAAACTTGTTTAAGCATGTCATAGAAAGAATCAATTCAGATATGATACATTTAGCTTTCATGTACAAATGAGTTGTTTCTTTTATGACACAAACCTATGTAAGCGTGACATTAGCACGCTTAACCTCGTGTCAAGTAAACGGGTTCTATTGATATTTGCATTCGAGATTGATCAAAATGTTGTTAGGGTGTGGTTCATATTCCCTAGCAACAGGAAGGCAAGTTGGCCCCCTGAATACTAGACAACTTTTATATGTGAAGACAACATTTTTCCATGGTGACTTGGAGGATGATATTTATATGAAGCAACCAAAAGGGTTTGTGGTCTAAGGAAAAGAAGATCTTGTTTGCAAACTGAACAAGTCTTTGTATGGCCTAAAGCAATCTCCAAAGATAGGGTTCCCATAAATTTGACTCGTATGTCTTGAAGCCTGGCTTTGTTAGTTGTGATGCTGGTCATTGTGTCCATGTGAAGAGGTTGCGATGATTTTGTTATTTTAACCTTATATGTTGATGATAAGCTACTAGTAGGGAACAATTTGAGAATGATCATTACTATGAAAGTATTGTTGGAAAAACAGTTTGAGATAAATATATAGGCCCAACAATCTTCATCTTGGGCATGCAAATAAAAGGGGAGAGTGAGAATGAAAAGTTGTGGCTAAGTCAGAAGGAATATGTTGAAAGTGTGTTGAAAAATTTCAACATAGCTGATTGTGAACTCATGAAGACCCTATGTCCACAAGTTCCAAGTTATTAGCGCTCTAGTGTCCCAAGACTGAAGAGGAAGCTGAAGAAATGGTAACAGTCCCATATGCAAGCACGGTTGAGAGCTTGATGGATGCCATGGAGCTGAAGGTATTCAGAGAAAACCAGCAGAGTGCCGATACTATTAGTGCGTAAAGCAATGCTAAGAAGTTTGATGAGCTGCAGCTTCTGCAATGTACATCAATGTATCATAAACCACACAAGAATTTATTCTCGGCCCCTCCTTTTTTGAATCATATCTGGCAATACTTGGCGGAGAGGTCCTTCACAATTGGTCTTGAGGTTCGCTACAAGAGCTATGGGATTCCTGGAGGAGGGTACATCCTTCGGAAAGCAGTAGGGAATAAACAGGAAAGTAAAATCGGGGAAACCGGATGGATCGAGGTGATCAAATTGAGTGTGATCTATTACAATGGAGAAGCCCTTGGAATGCAGGACGTGCTAGGATTCTCCAAACAATCATAAAGAAAATAGAGAGTAAAAGCGAGAAAGAATTTGAGACGTAAGGTTTTATCTCGGTTCACCATTAAACTAGGGCTACGTCCAGTTGAGGATTCCATTATAATTAGCACTTTGCACCTTTCTATTACATCCTTAATTATAAGAGAAAGAGAATATATATTATATACATTCAGTAGCTATTCATGGCTCCAAACCCAAACTACTAATAAAATCACAAATTCCAAATATAAAATACCCTATTTATGTCTTGTCGCTAAGAAGTATGAATCACACCCCAACAGGATAGACCCTAAATTGAGTATCAGGACCGCGTCCTTGAAAGGGACATGGGACTTGCACCGATCCACGATTGCGTCTCTGCCCTTGTTCCTCCATTTCTCTTGTCTGACTACAACCAGGGCCTTGGTCCTGGATGAATTTAGCAGATGAAAGGTGTTATATTCAGTACTGAGTCAACTGCGAATGTTAAGAAAAACAAAGGGAACTTCTCTAGTTAATTTGTCTTTCTTTCCTGGACAGTAACATAAAAAGGGGCAAGCAAATCGATTTCATCATCGAAGGGCGAAGTGACGAAAGGAAAGCGTGAGACATGTGAAGGAAACAAAACTACACGAGGATACCTGAAATTTTGTTTCCTTTCATGTCTGGCTTTGCTAAATCTTATGTTGTTTCACTCAAAAGGGTTTCTCACCCAGAAAGTAAAAATCTTTCACCAAAAAGATCAATTTTGATTTTTTACGGGATGGGTTCTGTGTTGATCTTGGACAGGAAATCACTTGATATTAATATGAAAATGTAAACTCTGAAAGTAAAAGTATTGGAAATGGTAAATGAGTGTAAAAGATGAAAAGACAGACAATTGTAAAACATTTGGGAATTTGTATGAGAGGTATAAATATCCCTTTTACACATTTCACTATGGGTATTTATAGCCCACTAACTACAACCATGACAAGTGGTTACTACTCTAAGCACAATTGCAATTGCATTTTCTCCAAGATTCTTGGTGCGCTATTTTCATGCGAATAGACATCATCCATAAGAAATTACTGCTTCCAACTTCCAAGGCCACTGAGATGCTCGACTGTCACTTCGCACCGGTGCCTCCATTCGATATCCCTTCTTAACGCATTTTCCTTTCTCGTGTCCAACACCTAGCAAAATTTCACGATATTTGGTGACCGCGGGCTTGGTTGATAAGTCATGGTACCTGCCTGCAAAGTCGTTGACTTACTTGACTTTGAGTGTTCTGCTTTACCAAACTTTTGAACGACCAATCAAATTTCACCATTTGTCGATTATAAAGAGTTCATTATTTTTTGGTTTAAACACATGTTAGAGCCAACAAAGAATATTCCTCTTCTCTGGCGGCTAGCTTCCTTCACGCAGGACTAAAGGTTAATTTGATTCCATCCCAAAACTGGGTCTTATATCTTTGCAGATTTAAAATTATTTTGCTGCTGAGCCGACCCTCATATTTGATGGCATTGAAGTCCAATGCTACTGAAATCACCAGAAAAGCACGTTACTATGTGAAATGAAGTGATCAGAACTTGGTTTCAACATGAGAGTGCTGGTAACCTTCTTTAAAAAATCACCATATTGACCTCACAGAACCGTCGTCTCGGAGCAGAATCGCATACACTAATGTATTGTAGCCGACACTCACAACCTTACTTAAGCTGATAGAGCTTGTCTAATTCCAAGACAGCTAGAGAAAGCAGCACCCAGAAGCACAAGAGCTTCAAAGTCTGCATCATTTCAGACACCCAACTATTTCTTGAGACAAATCAAGTGTATCGAAGAAATTTAATCCAGTTGCTGTGAAAGTCGAACTGATCTGGAGGTTTCTCATGTTCTTTTTTGCGATATAAAAAAGTACCCGTCTTTTGTAAGTAGAAAATTCTAAGGGGACTAGCATCTAAAGGCCTGAGAGATAGAAATATGCACTCAAAATCCTTTCCCTCGAGGAAAAGCTTCACAAAGACCAATATTTGTGCTACTGCTTCTTCTTTCTGTAAAGTGGACACGAGCGGTTTCTCATGATCGGCTTAAGAAAGAGTATTCGTATCTCTACAACAACAACAGCAAAAACAAAAACAAAAACAAAAACAAAAACAAAAACAACTGAGCCTTACTCCACCAAGTGGGGTCGGCCATATGAATTTTAATAGGTCACTTTGCTTAATTTTTTGGGCCTAATTCTCTAAAAAACCACCAACATTAGACCCGCTCCCAATTCTATCCCAAACTTTGTTTTGTTTCAGAAAAAATCTCAAACTTAAGGTCCATTCCAAAACTTGGCCTGAACTATTTTTTGTCTAAAAAAAGTTCCAAACTTTAGGTCAAGTCCAAAATTGGCCCCGAATTTTGTTGTCTAAAAAAAATCACCAACTTTCAATCTATTCTTAAATCTACCCCTTAGTTCTTTTTTTTTTGGTTAGATAATCTACCCTTTAGTTCAATCCCAACTTAACGTGGTATTTCTACGTTGATAACAAATCCATGTCGGTAAGGTGACATTGAAAATTATCTCCAAAATGAAACCGTTCTAGGATATGAAAATTAGGGACGACTAATGGTAATTTTTGAATGAAGGGCTAGTGAGGACAGATTTGGGACTAAAGTAAATATTTATGATTATTCTTTATGAGGACGCCTACCCCTTTTAACCAATATGTCCATTCTTCATTCACATCGCGTTATTGGGGCGTCCGAAAGGCCCTTATTTGACATTACCAAACCATCTCAGATGACCTTCTCTCATCTCAGATTGCTTTCAAGATGTTATCTCTACTGTAGTGAATATATTGCTGAGATCTAGCGGCCATGCTTTCAGTTTTTGGGCCATATACCAGGCGAAAATAGACAGATTATATGAGCTTTACTTTGGCTGCATAGTCTTGACGATTATTCTTGTTTAGATTACTGTGCAACCTTCATTGTAGGGGGCTGGGTTCTTTTGCTTTGTCCCTCTCAACTTTATAAATTTATCTAAATCTGCTCTAGCCGACCGACTTTCTATCAAAATGGGCGAAAAACTAACTCAGGTGTCATGTTAGCCATGTCATCACATGCGTCTTTTTAGTTTTTTAAGAAATGGTAAAACTATATAGTTACTCAACCTACTCTTTAACACTAGCATGGGAAGGTCACATGTTTAAAATAAACTGATCTTGTTCAATTCATTTAGAATTTTAGGGATTTCTAAATTTTCTCTACCAATTTCTCCATTTTCTGGTTGAAGGCACAATTGCTGCATGATATACGATGAAAATTCTCCTCATGTGGGCCCACAGGATGTGACGTCTTGCATGCATTGTGCTCACATAAATAGCACGATGAAAGTAGTGCACAAAATATGGTGACAAACATAGGTTGAATCGATTTTTTTGACTTAGGGCAAGCAATCCGGGCAAACCTAATATGGAATTTTAGGATTGGTGGGCCACACTCGTGAACAACGAAAATCGAGATTTATATCCTCCACGCCTT